TAAAATAAAAAATGTGACTGGTTCCCGTTGGTTCATTACATTTATTGATGATCACACTCGGCTTACATGGGTCTTTCTCATGAAAGAAAAATCAGAGGCATGTCAGATTTTCAAAAACTTCAACACCATGATACAAACTCAATTCCAAGCCAAAATCCAAATTCTAAAAACTGACAATGCCAAAGAATACTTCAAATTCATACTCAATGATTATCTCGAGTCATGGCATCATTCATCAAAGCTCATGTGTCAATACCCCTCAGCAAAATGGAATTGCTGAAAGGAAAAATCGGCACCTTCTAGATGTTGCAAGATCTCTTATGTTTTCTACTCATGTACCGAAACATTTTTGGGGTGAAGCTATTCTCACTGCGGCATACCTCATAAACCGGATGCCATCTAGGATTCTCAACTTTCAAAGTCCTTGTCAAACCTTACTTCAGTTTTTCCCAAATACACGTCTCATCTCCACTATTCCCTTCAAGGTTTTCGGGTGTTCAGCCTTTGTTCATGTCCATCAAAATAAAAGGGATAAATTTGATACTATAGCACTTAAGTGTATCTTCCTTGGGTACTCTCCAACTCAAAAGGGGTATAAGTGCTACTCATCGATCACTAAACAGTACTACCACTCCATGGATGTTACCTTTTTTGAGCACCAGCCCTACTACCCCAAATTTGATATTCAGGGGGAGACCAATTTTACCCAGGAATATTAAATTTGGGATATTGATGAATCAGTTCAGCTCTCTCCAAATCCTGACCAATCTCACCCATCACCAAATTCTAAACATCTCTCCCTAGAATCTTCCTACCAAAATCTGGACACTAGTAAATCAACAACTAATAATGAGTTGATTAACTATTCACAGAGGAGGAAGAACCAAAAGGAGATGGAACCACCAACACCTCTGCAGCAAAACCAAGAATCTGATCCTAGTCCAAGATCTTGTGAAGATCCAACACCTCTGCAGCAAAACCAAGAATCTGATCCTAGTCCAAGATCTTGTGAAGATCCTTCAGGTAATCCTAATCCTGAGCCCTCACAGAATGAACTAATTGGTGATGACAGTGACTATCCTATTGCCATGAGGAAAGGGGTTAGAACTTACACAAAACATCCTATATACACCTTTATATCATATGAAGGCCTGTCACCAAAATTCAAGTCGTTTGTTGCCAACCTCGACAACACTCAGGTCCCAAATAACATACAAGAAGCTCTTGGATCTCCCGAGTGGAAAGTTGCTATACATGAAGAAATAAATGCACTGGAAAAGAATGGCACCTGGGAAATATCAGAATTACCATCGGGAAAAAGGCCAGTAGGATGCAAATGGATATTCTCAATCAAGTACAATGAAGATGGAAGTGTTAATCGTTTCAAGGCACGGCTAGTGGCAAAGGGATTCACTCAATCGTATGGAATCGACTATGAGGAAACATTTGCCCCAGTAGCCAAGTTAAACACAGTTCGGGTTCTCCTATCTCTAGCTGCAAATCTTGATTGGCCCCTTCACCAACTAGATGTCAAGAATGCCTTTCTAAATGGGGACTTAGCTGAGGAAGTTTACATGGAAATCCCTCCAGGATTTGAGACACCGAAAACTGACAACAAAGTTTGCAAACTTAAAAGATCATTATACGGGCTCAAGCAATCACCAAGAGCTTGGTTTGAGAGATTTACCAAGGTAATAAAGAATCATGGCTATTCTCAATGTCAATCAGATCACACCTTGTTTGTCAAACACTCATTTGCAGGAAAACTGGCTATCCTCATTGTATATGTGGATGACATTATCCTAACAGGAGATTATGAGGAAGAAATCAATACTACCAAAGGTCTTCTAGCTAAGGAATTTGAAATCAAGGACCTTGGACAGCTCAAATACTTCCTAGGTATAGAAATTGCAAGGTCAAGAAAGGGAATATGTGTTTCCCAAAGAAAATACGTACTGGATCTATTAAAAGAAACTGGGATGCTTGGATGTAAGCCAACGGACACACCTATGGATTCAACAACAAAATTAGGCACTAAAGAAAATTGTGCACCGGTGGATAAAGGCAGATACCAAAGGCTAGTGGGTAAACTAATCTACCTTTCTCACACACGACCAGACATTGGTTTTTCTGTCGGCATGGTAAGTCAGTTTATGAACAATCCAAATGAAGAACATATGGAGGCGGTGTATAGAATCCTAAGGTATCTGAAGCTAACACCAGGTAAAGGATTATTTTTTGAGAAGAATCAAAGAAGAGACATAGAGGTGTTCAGTGATGCAGATTGGGCAGGATCAGTACAAGACCGAAGATCAACTTCAGGGTATTGTACTTATGTGTGGGGAAATCTAGTCACATGGAGAAGTAAGAAGCAATCAGTGGTGTCAAGGAGCAGTGCAGAAGCTGAATTTCGGGCAATAGCCCATGGTATTTGTGAGGGAATATGGCTAAGAAGGGTACTAAAGGAATTAAGAATTTCTAGTGAAGAACCTATGAAGATGTTCTGTGATAACCAATCAGCAATCAGCATTGCCAAGAATCCAGTCTATCATGACAGAACTAAGCATGTGGAGATTGATCGGCACTTTATAAAGGAGAAGATAGAGGAAGGGATGATCAAAATGCTATATGTACCCTCATGTCTTCAAACAGCCGACATTCTTACTAAGGCTCTACCAAGAAAGACTTTTGATGATCTAAGTTCCAAGCTGGGGTTAATTAACATTTACCATCCAGCTTGAGGGGGAGTGTAGAATTATTTGGAGTTTAGTTTGAATGCATATCTGTTTGAGTGTTAGAGGGCCGAAATTAAGGAAATCTAGAGTTAAACAGATCAGTATTTTGTTCCATATTTTTAGGGGATTCTGGTAGCTTGTTATCATATCCGTATATATTTATTTCCTATTTATTTCTTTCTGTTTTAGATAGATTTGACCCTATTCTAGGTAAGTTGCATATATCCCTAGAAATTAGGTGTTTCAGCATCTATATATATAGGGAACGTGTAACCTGTTTTAATATATTGAAAATAATAAAGAATTCCTCTACTTTCAACAATTTCCAGTCGCTAAGATATCATCTACATAAACGGAAACGATTAAAATATCAACAGTTGAATGCTTGACATATAGTGTTGGCTCACTTGGACTTTTTTCGAAACCAAGACTAAGGAGATGCTCATCGATTCTAGCGTACCATGCCCGTGGAGCATGCTTTAAGCCGTACAAGGCCTTTTTAAGCAAGTACACCTTATTCTCCTCTCCATCCACCACAAAACCTTCAGGCTGCTCAACGTAAAATTCCTCCTACAAATAGCCATTAAGAAAGGCAGATTTCACATCTAGTTGAAATACCTTCCATCCCTTTTGTGCGGCCAATGCAAGAAGCAATATGACTGTATCAAGTCGAGCAACAAGAGCAAAAGTCTCTGAAAAATCTACTCCAAACACTTGAGCAAATCCTTTCACTACAAGTCTGGCTTTGTGCTTGTTAATAGTACCATCTGCATTTAACTTGGTTCTAAACACCCACTTTACTCCGATGACCTTCTTGTGACAAGGCCTAGGAACCAACTCCCATGTTTGATATCCATCTTGGATCATCCTTAGCTATATAAAAATTTGCCGGTTCTAAAACACCAACATTACACCTTTCATAGATGTCAGAAAGCAATTTAGTTCCCCTAACTGGAGGATCATCAATATTCTCATCCTCAAATGATTCAGTATTAGGAACTAGATTCACTTCATCTTCCCAATTCCACTGTTGATCTTCAACAAAATGAACATCTCGACTTATTAGAATATTACCAGTTTCGTGCTGGTAGACTCTATAAGCCTTTGAAGCTGTGCTATAACTAATAAAAATTCCAGAATTTGTCTTTTTATCCAATTTATCTCATTTCACACTAGGTATATAAGTGAAACAAACACAACCAAAAACTTTAAGATTCTGGATAAAAGGTTTATAACCATACCATGCTTCAAATGGAGTTTTCCCTTGCACTGCCTTCGTGGGAAACCTATTCAACAGGAACACAGCTGTATTCGCAGCTTCTGCCCAAAACTTCTTCGGCAACCCTTTCTCATGTAGCATACACCATACCATCTCCATTACAGTTCTGTTCTTCCTCTCACTCACTTCATTTTGCTACGGAGTATAAGGAGCAGTGAGTTGGTGCTCAATTCCAGCATCTTCGCAAAACATATTGAATTGTTCTGAGGTGTATTCCTTGTCATTATCAGATCTTATGACCTGAATTTTGCAACCACTTTGGTTCTCAACCCAAGCTTTAAATTTCCAAAAAACTCCTTCCACTTCAGACTTGAATTTCAAGAAATAAATCCAACACATTCTACTAAAATCATCAATAAAGAGAATATAATATTTACTTCCCTTTAAAGATAATTCAGGTATAGCCCCTCCAATATCCTTATGTATTAGTTGTAGCATTGTTCTAGCCCTGCTCGTTGCATTCGAAAACGGGAGCCTAGTTTGTTTTCCAAATCTGCATGCTTTACAACTTATTAAGTGATCATCCAGAGGAGGAATTCCTCTTGCAAGATTCTTTCTCCTCATATACAATAGAGCAGCGTGGTTGAAATGCCCCATTCTCTTGTGCCAAAGCTCAGTTGTAGTAACCGAACTCATCATAGCAGCCTGCTCTGTCTCCAACATATTTAAAGAGAAGCTTTTTCCCTTCATATTGACCTTGAACATGTCAGATCCACTTGAATCTTTTATCGAACACATCCTGTCTTCAAACACAACTTTGTAGCCTTTTTCAAGCAGCTGACCCACACTTAACAGGTTCTGATAAATTTCAGGAACATAAAGAAAATCTTGAATTAACTTAGTACCAAGACTACTTTCAATGGCAATAGTACATTTACCTTTGACAGCAATAAAATCTCCATTTCCAATTCTGACTTGTGACAAAACCGCCTTATTAAGCTCTTTGAAAAGCTCAATATCATGTGTCATATGATTGGTGCAACCGCTATCAATCAGCCAACTCTCATTTGCAATCCTAGTTGCAAAACAAAAAGCAACAAATAGTTTATCCTCCTTTTGCTCGACAACCTGAGCCTCACTTTGCTGATATTTCTCTTTGGATTTGCATATTTTTGCAATGTGTCCCAAGAGTTTGCACTTGTTGCATCTAACATCTGGCCTCCTCCAACATTTGTGAGGTGGGTGACCCTTCTTTCCACAGGTTGACATGATGGATAGTCTTGCTTATCACTTCCTTCTCCCTTGCTGTAAGCTTGATCGTCTGCACTCTTCTTTCCATTTCTCTTCTTCCCCTTATTATTGTGGCTGATGTGCAACTTTGCAACAAGAGCTCCTTCAACGGTGCCTTCATGTCTCTTCAGCCTTCTTTGCTCTTGAGCTTGCAAAGCATTTAATAATTCTGCCAACGTAATGCTTGACACATCCTTAAAGTTTTCCAATGAAGAAATCGTGGATTCAAATCTTTCTGGAATAGTAACCAAAATCTTTTGAACAATCCTAGAATCAGAAAACTCTTTGCCAAGCAATCTTACCTGATTTACAATGCTCAGAAGTCTATCGGAGTATTCTTTGAAGTCTTCGATTCCTTCATTCTTTGCATTTCATATTCCATGATCATATTCAACACACGCATCCCTTTGATCTTCTCATTGCCTTCGTACTCCATCTTGAGAAAATCCCAGATTTCCTTGGCTGATTTCAAGGTCATAATTCTGGTAAAAACTGTTGCAGAAACAGCGTTGAACAAGCAGGACTTAGCCTTTGATTTTCTTTGCCTCTTCTCCTTGTGGTTCCGTTGGATTTGTTGGAAGAGGAGTAATTTCATAATCCTCCTCAAGAGCTTCCCAAAGGTCGTTTGCTTCCAAATAGGACTCCATTCTAATTGCCCAAATTTGGTAGTTTTCACCTTCAAACACTGGAGGTGCTACTGCTGAAAAAGAAATTTCAGATTGCATTTTGTGAAGTTTGGTTTGATGGTAGTCTCTCAATTCTCACACAGGTCTCTCAAGAAGATTCACTCTGGTACCAATTTGTAGTAAAAACAGAAAGAGATGAAAGACATAATTTTCATTCAAGTAAAAACCTGCTTAAATATATCACAAATACTAATAAGCTGAAACTTCTACCCATGTTTCCATATATTGTCACTAACATAAAACATGGCAACTACTTAGCTAAAAAACAACTAAACTTGATTAAGTAAAATGCATAACAAACTCCTAAAAACTAGGATAAGTTGCAGCCACTAGAGACATTTCCAACAGAGGAATCGGGAGTTACGTTGGATTAGTTTGCGCTTCCCGACATTGGGACATCCAACAATGAAAATGGAGGGTGGCTTCCCAGTCTCATCCCGGGCTTCCATTTTAATAGAGCCTTCCTTGTTTTCTTCCATCTGTTGTGAAAATTGTAGTAGGGGGTGCTCGCACATGCATTTTTAGACAAATTGTAGTTAGGCTTCAGAGGAAAAAGAGCTAAAACATAACACAAGAATTGCCACAACCATTATAATGAAATTGAAAAAGGTTGGACGAATTGTTGAGATATGGAAGAGACGAGAGAACTCAAAAACCGGAAGATTAGCAGAACATGAGTTATGATCTACGGAAGCAGACATCATAGGACAGCTTAAACTCTTGGCTGCGTTATGTGCTTCTTCTATCAGTACAGGTGATATAGAAACAACTCAAGGGGGAAATAACAAGAGCATGGAAAACAAGGTTGAGTGTCCATGAGATGATGCTCACTTTCTTGAAAGAAAAACATTAACCATAAATGAAAAACAAGAACGAATATCTAATTGAAGTTCATTCACAGTGGTTCCACATAGTTATTTACATCTAAAATCAAACAAGACGTTGGTTAGAAACGCAAAAAAGGTTAATAAAAAAGGAAACCCCGAAAACCCTTTTATATGGAACAGATTTAACAAACAAATTCAACTAGAAGGCGCGATCTTTGGGGTGATTAGCTGATCAATCAAATACATGCTATGACTATAAGATCAAATAGAGATTAATTGGAGTAAGATCAGAGCACCTGAGTCGTGGAATGATTTGAGGTTTAAGATAAAGATGTGTGCTTTGAAAGAATGTCGAGCGAGGGAAGGAAAGCCGAAGACGCAGGAAAATTGAAAAGGTTGAATTCACAATTTAGCCCATGAAGTACTTTTTCTACTTTATACCCGGAACTATTTTTTGTCCCAATTTGCCCCTAAACTAGAGTGTGACGAAGATGACATTATAAGGAGGGATAAAAATAATTTAAGGCGTAAAATGAAAAGAGTGTATACTTTAGAGACTAAATTGTAAATTAAGCCAACTGAAAAAATTATAAGAAGTGTTTTCAGGTTTTCCATTTTAATCTCGTAATTACATTATTAACTATTACAATAATATATTAAAAAGTCATACTCTCCTTTTCTTCATCAAATTTGCTCAGTAGTATGGTTTTTAGAACTGGATCGGTTAGCGAATCAGTCATGCTACTAGTTTATTGGTTCAATCGGTCGAATCAATCCGATCGGTCGGAAGAACCGGACGACATCATAATTATTTAAAAAATTAAATAAAAATATCAAAAATATTTAATAAAAAATAATTTTTTATATCACAAGTCATATTCAAAGCAAGTCATAACATATACAAATTAAAAACCATAAAATCAAGTGAAACAAAATGATTCAAATTAACTACAACATAATATTTAAGGTAAAACATATTAAATAATAAATATAATTATATAACTATAATTAAAAAATAAATTTGGGGCTAAAAAAGTCATAACAAAATGATATTGTTTGGTTTAATTTTTTTTTAAAAAACAATCTCACATGGCTAAGAAACATAAAAGAGCATCCCAAAAGCCTAAAGAGTAAAAATATGAGAACAAAACAATTCCACATTGCTAAGAAACATAGAAGAGCATCACAACTAACTTCTATAAATAATAGAGGTAATTTGGCATTCAAAATCATGGAGTCTTTTGGTGAGCATTGAGTGAACTATTCTTTCACTTCAATCAAGCTCAAATTTTAGGCTTCAATTAAGCTTCTAATTTTTTTTTTAGTTCAAGCCTTTTTTAGTTCAAGTTTTAATATTATATTTCGAGTCCGAGTTGAACTTGATAATTTTTAACTTGTGAGTTTGAGTAGAGTTGAGCTTACTTTTAAAGCTTTCAAGTTTGAGTCGAGCTCAGCAATACTCGAGTTCGACTTGGCTCGTTTAACAAACGACGTTTGGTTTAATTTTTTTTTAAAAAAAAATAAAATTTTCGATTTTTTCCGATTTTTTTAGTCGGTCCGGTTCGAGCGGTTCTGGCCGGTTCACTAGTAGCGGTTCAACCGGTTTAGATTGAACCGGACTAAGCAACGGTTCCCGGTTGAACCGGACTAGGCAACGATTCCCGATTGAACCGACCGATCCGATCCGGTTTTCAAAACAATGCTCAGTAGGAAATTCAGATTTTTTTTAAACTAATTTTAACATACTTTTTGTTTTATTATAATATTAATTAATATTTCAAAAGTAACTTTTAAATCTAGTAAGGACCAATTTGATATCATTTTTTAAAAATGTTATAAAAAGAATGCTTTTGAAATGTATTTTTAAAAATATTTTTAGATCTTTGATTTAAAATTTAAATATTTATTTTAAACGTTTTTGAAATTATAAAAGAATTAATGATATAAACGAGTATAAAATTATTTCTCAGATATCAGTCTTGGTAAGCAAGTTATTAATATGGAGGAGTGCATTGAAGAAAATGCCACTATTTACAGGATTTTATGCACTAAAAGAGAGACCTGAAAAAGCCAAAACAAATTGATCTACAGCTTGCCATTAAAACCAGATATTGAACATTGGTCATTATTCTAAAGGCTTCATAAAATAAGTGACTTAGTTATACCGCTTTTCACAAATTAGTGTCTAAATTATTTTTGAATCATTCATATGTCTAACATTACAAATATTATCACTTTAGGTGTCTCAGTTCTAATGATTGTTAAAATAGCCCGTTAAGTCAGACATATATCATAATCTAGTAATTTTATAAATTTAATTTTTTTTGAAAAACTTAAAATATTTTATTTTTGAAAAAGCCCCAATTTTTCTAAAATACAAAAAAAAATCTCAAACTCCCTAAATCTCTTATTCTAGCCCCTTTACTCTAACAATCAATCATCTCCGGTCATCTACCCGCACGAGAATGGCCATCCATACGTCGCTGACCACCTACTGACTGATCATAACCCTTGATATCATCTCAAAACTCAAAATTCTCAAATCTCTACACTTCAATCCCTAATCCCTAAAATCATAAATACCCAATGTGATAGTCGACCATTTATTAGACTCTAGCAACCGACCTTTTGGCCATTTGGTTGGCCGTTTAGTAGGCCGTTTGACATTTGATCGTTTGGCCATGGAAAAGCGTGGAGCAAGCATGGGAAGAGAGGGAGAGGAGAGACGTGGGTTGAGTTTTTTTAATAATATTTTTTTCAGAAAAAAAATTCAAAATCCTAAGATTGACACATGTCACTTTAACGAAATTTTTTAACAGTTGTTACGGTCGAAGCAACTAAAGTAGTAATGTTTGTAATGTTAGACACCTGAATAATTCAAAAAATAGTTTAGGCACCAATTCGTGAAAAAATGATATAGTTTGATCACTTATTTTATATTTAAACCTATTCTAAAATAATAAACCAGTTGTATATGTATATGAATATGTCTTGGCAAATGTCTTGGCAAATAAATAAAGTTGCTTGGAAGTTAACAGCAGGGGCATTACTGATTAAAAATGGCTTCCAAGGTTGCAATGCATCCCGCATTGTTGCAAAACAAAATTCAGGTCAGCTAAAAGTCGAGCCACCATGTAAGCAGCAAAAAATGCTTAAAGACTAACCAGTTTCGGCAGCAGTAACAGCCTGCCTATACTTGTCCTGAACATCCCCGACCGCGAAAATGCTCGGCACGCTGGTATGAGTTGTACTGGGCTTAGTGACAATGTAGCCAACTGGGTCAAGGTGAAGCTGGCCTTCCAAGAACATGGTGGCAGGCTTATGCCCAATGGCAAAGAACAAACCAGAGACTTTCAAATCGGAAAGTTCCCGGGACAGTGAGTAGGCTCTTCACCTTGAGCCCTCACAAAACCCTCTATCCCCATCCTCGTACGCCTCCAGTACCACTGAATTCAATATCACCTCTATCTTGGGGTTCGAAACGGCCCTGCTCTGCATGATCATAGATGCCCTAAATGTATATATCCTGTGAATGATACCTTGGAAGGAAGATGTCTCCTCCATGAGAGAGTCACCCCGCCAATCCCAGCCAGGGGATTGTTCCTGAAGATTGGAGCCGCCCCTATGGAACATGTGGCCACGATGATCGAGTCAGCCAGGACGGTTCTTGCATTGGTGGTGAAGATCTTGAACGAAGAGGAAGACATGTCAACCCTTCTGACGGTTTCGGTGAATATGGCGGTGCCAAAGCGGAGAGACTGCCTGCAGCAGCGGTCCATAAGGTCGAAGCCAAGGATGCCATTTGGAAACCCATGCAAGTTCTCAACGTCGGTAGTGGTAGTGAGCTGGTCCCCAGGTGCATAGACGGCGCCAGTGTGAGCAGTGGAGCCGCTGCCAGTGTTGCAGAGCTTGGTCGTCAGGGGAGAGTCCATGTATGCAGAGGCAGCGGAAGTGGTGGCAAAGCCCACCAAAGTGCGGGCCATTTTTAAAAGACTTCTGAGCATCCTGTTGCCCCTGCTCCTGCTAGCGTTAGTGCTAGGCTTTCTTTTATTGTATTTGTTTGTATTTCTTTTTTAAAATTTGTGATTTTATTATATTTCCTTTTATAAAAGTAATTGCTCCTATTAGTTAAAATAAATAAATTATGCGTGTAGGAATCATTTGATGTTAAAAGACCATTTCATCGTAGATAGATAAATCAAATCAGTGTGAAATTTAAGGAAGTTACAGTCAATTAGACGGGAATTTTGTGAGGGTTAATCTTTTATTTTCAAGACAAGTCCAACTCCGTGAATCAAAGCCCCCAAAATCATACCATACATATCTCGCACACAGTCCAACTATAGAAAGGAAAGGGCTTCCGACGGCACTAGTTAAACTGCTGCACTAAACTGAAAACTAAAACCAAACACTACATAGACCACTAGTGAAAATGAATTAACTAAAGGCAGAAGCACAGATTAGGCACCGGTTTTAATCGATCCCAGTCATCCACGCCTTCCCTCCACTGATCAGCTTTGCTCGAATGGAACACGTACAAACAACTGTCCATGAAGGGTTACAACCGCTGATGTTTGATGCGGATCAATCCTCGAGGGTAAGCTGACAACCTAACACCCAAAAAACACACTTTTCAGTGTGCTAAAGAGCTACCCCATAAAAAAGAGGCAAATAAAAAAAAGTGAAACGAAGATGTGGAAAACACAGAATATCAAAGTGCTAGCTTATGATCTGGCAAAGTAGCAATGATGGTTTGATACAAGTTACAGGTAGAATAGTAGCAGTAATGAATGACTAGGGTAGTGCATCAGAAAATTAAAATTTGAAACGACCAAAAGAATTTGGCAATAATGTTCTGGACTGTCCCTTCCTTTAAGATTTGGTACAATAGTGATTAATTTCGGAACTGACATTTTACTAGCTGAACGTACAATCAAATTATTTCAAATAAAAGCTTTATTTAATAAGACAAAGATGTTTATGCCGATGAACCTAAATACAGGAGGTTAGAAGCATTTCAAGGATTAGTTAAAATTAGACACTGGATCGAACAAGAAAACAGGAAACAAGTATATCTTTAAAATATTTTTTTATATGAAATAAATAGTATCAGTGGCTGTTTGTTTGTCTCTTAATGGAACCATTCAACGCTGAATGCTGAACCGTTCAGCATTCAGCGCGATTGTTTCGCACCTCTGAATGATTCAGTACTGACTGATTCAGTAAAACAGTGCTGAATGATTCAGCACAAAAGTACATTTTAAATGATTCAAAGTTATTATCAAACAGCATGTCACATTCAGAGCTAATTCATACAGAACTTCTGAATCATTCAGCGCTTAATCATTCTAAAATAAACAAACAGTCCCTCAGTCAACTTTAAAGACTTCTTGTTTATTTAATTATTATTTGGAGAAAAATCATTATCATGGATGTGAAACTAACAGAACGTAATTTTATTCTAGTTAGTACTGCACCTTTTTGAACGGTGTGACACCCCAAGGATTATCCGGATGCTCAGGTTCACCGCTTATTACTAGGCGTCCCGCGGGATCAGATTGAACACGCACCTAAAATTGCAAATAACCACATAAAAACATCCGTAGACAGCCAATTTTAAGGGCTTACAAAAGCTGAATTTTAAGCCGATTTTGAATGCTGATAATTTCAATGCAAGGCACTTTTGTGCAAATTGGTCCGAACCATGCGTGCTAGAAGGAAATGAAAAGTGAAAACTATACATAGTTTTACAAGTTTGTTCACTGACCTCCTCACGAAGAAGGCCTGGAACTAAAGCATAGACCTCAAAACAATCTTTCTGCAAAATCAAAACAAGTCAAACTTTCAAAAAACCAAAAATCATGTCATTTCTGGATATCAGGGGCAAAGAAACTTACAGTTTTCCGCACATTGATCTTAACCCAATCTGCTGGGGATCCAATATCAACCACTGCTGTCTCCACACTAGCCAATTAAGAATTAAGTCAAACAAATTGTTCATGCGCTTAGTAAAATCCCATAAAAAAAAATATAACATGGATCTTAACTGTGCCTTCGATACTTTGGTAGATGAAGCCTTGACAGCACTATCCAAATATGATGGTTTCTTTCGTTTAAGCAAACCTGCTTCATAGATCTTCATCAGCTTTTGAAACAACCAGAAAGAAAATTGGTTTAAAGGCTTAAATGACATACCCAGACTTTTAAGCTGTTTTTCACGCTTTTGTTGAGAAATAGAATTCTTATCCTACAAAAGAAGGATGAATTGCCATATAATACTATATTATCAAAAGATTACACCTGAAAACGCTCATAACTAGGAGAGGCACAGCTTATTTTTGTCTTTTTCCGACAGTACAGACGAATAGGATGGAATAAATAAGGATAAACTGCTCACTAGATTTTCATACACACCTTAATTATTGGGTCACTGACTTCACCATTACGGAAATGACGTGAATGCCAACCCTTCATAGCACGTGCAGCTGCATCTCTTCGTGCTCTACCAGATCCTGAAGCCTAATTACAAACAGCATCAAAAAGAATGTTTGGAAGCAATAATTAAAAAAGATAAACCTCATTAAACATATTCTAACTAGGGATGCAAAGCGAAACAAACTTTTGATATTATAGAATATCGCCACACAACTTTTACTCAGATAAGGTTGGGGAAACATGAATGTGAAGTTAATACTCTAAAAGACACACAAACTTATCAAAATCTTAAATTCTTTGCTTTTCTATAAAAAAATATCTGACAATTGAAAGATATTTCATGTTACCTGATTCTCAACATTCATAGCCTCTGATTGCGATGAAATAGGCATATTAAACTCACCTCCAGATATCTTATGCCTTTCAAAATCAAGGAGTGACTGAACAAGCACAAAAATAAGGCTTAGATCAGTCCCTATCATATGAAGCAAACAAGCCACAAAACTCAATTTTGCACTGAATATGCGTGAATCAAAAAGTGAATTACAAAGTTACATAGCCACTTTTGACATTGTATATCATGGCAACCTCAGCTACCAAAAAGTCCCTCCATTTGATGTGCCAGTAATGACGGCAGGAGGATAATGACAGGAAGTTGAGTCCCCCCACCCCCCTTTTCTTTTGTTCTATGCAACATAATTTGCATAGTCTAAAGGTAACTAAAGGTACAGACTGCAGACCTAAGTGATACCAAACGAAAAATGAGATGCAATACTGTTTTCCCAAGCATATATGATTCACAATGTAAATACCTTTTCATAGAAACCACGAAATGTCCATGAAACAGTAGTACAGGTTCTGCACAAATAAAAACAGAAAAGATATACACATCATTGAACCTTGGGGTTGGGGGTAGGAAGAGAGAGAGAAATCAATATAGCAAATGCAACATCTTCACTTCTTAAATGAGCAACATTTTAAGAACTATAGTTCATAAATTATTTCAAAATTAATCGTTTTAACCACATTGTCAATCTCTTAAATAAGTATATTTGCATAGGCTGATAGGCCGGTAAAACCCAAGACTAGAAGTAACTTTCATCTTGCTCCTTACTTTGGGGGCTTGAAAGACTCTCCAACTTGCCGCCACAATTTACATGAAGTTACCTACCCATAGTCAAAAATTCATTTAATCCACATTTGCAACAGAAAAAATTTGCACATAAAGAGTTAAATTTACAGAATATAGTCATCCGAGAGCAGTACACAGTTCCACGCAACAAACAGTAGCATGATATACATACTAAACATTTTAAGAAAAGTTCTCTAAAAATGTGAGTGCATGTATGTGTGTCTGTGAGAGGGGGAGAGTTTTAGAAGAGGATTAAGTTCAGAATGAATATGCAGTACAATAAACCATGCAAAAATTTCTATTCACTTTTCTAATCTAAGTTCTCAAAAAGTAGAAGCTTATATGAGTAGAAATGTAGTATTTTCCAGTCACTCGGAAACCTTAAATAAACAGACAAAGACCCTGCATAAAGTGATGCTAAAGAAAAGGCAGTTTGTATACAAAGATGGAAAAAGTGATCCAAACAGAAAAAAGTTTGCGGGAGGAAATGAATTGAAGACAAGACTGAATATTTCATGCACAAATTAAAAAGTATTTATTACACTTGAAATTACTTCATATATGGTATGTTCCAATCATACTGCATTCCTTAACTTGGCTACCCTAAAACCATATACAATTCGTAGAAGTAGAATGGTACAATGCATCTTATAATCTATAAATTTAACAGAAACCAAGGCAAACATGCATACCTGGTCATAGCCACCCAATTTAATAACAGCTCTCCACAACCTTATCCCCATAAAAGTGTATAAATGTCAGTCAAATAGAAATTTCCAAACACATCATAGTTGCAAAAAGAAAACAGTAATGCAAGTACCAATGAACTTACTTAAGGCAATTCAGCCCTTCACCATAAAATTTAGGGGGCTTAAACTCCACGCCTCTCTGTTTGAAGAAACTTTCCAGTTGCATCATGAAAGCTGATTGCTCCTCTTCTGTTCCCGATTCATTGCCATCGTCGTCCAAGAAAAATGAGAACTCAGAATTGTTGTTCCCATTAGCAGGAGTTGTAGGCAACTCCAGTTTATCAACCTCATTCTTCACGTCTTCTGCTTTCTCCTTATCAGGAAATGATTGAGAAGGCGTATGCTGTTCAGGTTCATTAAGGATGGTTGGTGTGGGGTCACAGTCATGATTAGTTTCACTCTGAGGTAATGCAGAAGTTTCCGTTTTGGCATTTCCTGTGGGTTTAGGAGGTGAGACAGAGGAGGTTACAGTTTTGGCATCAGTTGTAGCTTCAACAGCATGAATATGATTGGAAGGAGGGGAGTCAGTTTTAGAATCGGCGTGGCTCTTGGAATCAGAAATAGAAGAGGATTCTGGTATCGTATTGCTCAGGGTTTCTATATTGATAGGGGTTTCTATAGCGGGCTTCAGCGAAGATTGATCATCAGGGACAGGAAGAGAGCTCGGCGAGTGCTGAGCCGGAGAATAATGTGGTTGTATGTTGTTATCAGCATTTGAATGCTGTGTGTGATCGGTTATGGAGTTAGCCTCCAATGGCACGGAAGAAGGAATTTGCTGAATTGGCGGATTAATGGGATGGTCTCCGTCATTCATGTTAGAAGCACCTGATACAGGAACAGCTAGTTCGGCCTCCTTGTATTCAGTTCCCTTGGTATGGCATGTGTCGGATTCCATCAATAAAAGGTCGAAAATTCCTCCTACACATCCATGTTACATTTAGTTTTAAAACAGTTGTGAGTCAACAACTGAGCAGTCCTTTTTTTTTTGAACGAAAGTGAATCAATTATGATTAGAAAACCATAAACATAGATTAGGTGAAGAACGAAATCGTAATATGAAAATTGAATGTGAATGAGGAATCAGAATGACGGCTAAACGAAAAGGAGAGAGAGAAAAGCCCCAAATTTAACATCTGGGTTCGGCTCTCCTAAAAGATTAGCAGGAGAATGAATCGAAAGAAAAATCCCAAAAGCAAATGAACAATACGATTTTATTGCAATTGCATAAAGATAATGCAATTATTATATAAGAAATAGCAGCGAGGAAAAAAGAAAGACTTGCCTGGTTGGTAGCTTGAACGAATCCTGAACCCTAATCTAAACAAACCCTAATTATATCGTCTGTTAACAGAATCCAGAAGTTGCTTATTGAATTTAGCTACTACTGCTGGCATTAGAAATTGGATTCATAAACGCACTCCTACAGCTTTAGCTTCGGACACCCTAACCCCTTTTTCTATTCTTCGTGTGATTTAGGACATTTATCTTTGTTCCGTTCGGTCTTAGGACTTTGGACTTCAAAATTTCCGACATTCAATTCAATGCCCGTGCCACCACAGCATTTTGAGTCGTATTGGTTCGGTTCAAATCGAATCGATTTTCATTAGTTATATCGGTTTGGTTCATTGTTTTTCTTTTAATTTTAAAAAATAGATATTTAGTATATAAACATAAAACATTTGTTCAATATATATATTTTTGGTAAGCGGTACGACTAAAGATTGTCATGCACTAGGGAATATTAAAAGAGTAATTAAAAATTTTCCAATCCCTAAATAGAGGAAAAGAGTATCATTTCTAATATTAATACAAATTAAACATCAAGTTTACATTCATTAAGCAGCGGGATAATTCAAACCAGATGATCAACATGATAAACAAGATCAAAATTATCTAAAACAGTTTTTTGACTAAAGCATCGGCCACTTTATTCCTTATTCTCTGAATAAAAAGATTTATTATATGTTATAAAAATAGAAAAATTATATTAAGTGAATAAAATCTGATTATTTTAATTTCATTATACACAGAGTAGTAGATTCGTTTAAGTGATTTAGGTACTCTTTTACTTTATAATTGATTTAGGTTTGAAACTTACTGTTTCTTCTTCTTCTTTTTATCATTAACAACATTATAAGATACATATGTTACCATTTGATTGAATATAAAATTTATTTAATTAAATAATTAACAATAATAAAAAAAAGTCTTCAATTAGGTGATGACATGTGTCATTAACAACATGTGTTATGATCCTACGTTGAAATGTGTCACCTTTTGATTGAAGGGATAATTTATTAAATTAAATGAAAATTATGATCAAATTGATTGAATATAATGTATTAGTGATCAATGTGCACTTACACTAATTTTGTTAACCGACACTATCGTTAAACTTTAATGATAGATGGTTTCATTGTACCATTTAAATAGTTAAGTGTTTTGAATGATTCAATTAAAAGATTAGTGGTCAAAAGAAAAATGAGCAATAGTTAAGTGATTATATATATATTTTACCCATTTTTAAATAAATATATAAAAATATTATTTTTTGATAAATTTGGTGTGAATACAAGGTAATATTTGTTCAAATATAGTCAATCGTTTGACAGTGAACGCTTATACCTCTGACATATACGGTGCTCGAACTTGAAACCTATGAGGATAATAAGAAGTCTCTTAACTACTGAAGTCGTTTGATTCGTGTCATATATATATAAAAAATCAACGTCGTTTTAAAAATAGGATAAATTACATATTTAATCATCCAACTATTTCCAAGATTTTGTTTTGATCACTAACTATTTTTTTCAAAAACCTAAAGTTATGTTTAGGTTCAATTTTAGTCACCATTATTTAAAAAATTAATGGTGATGTTGCATCATCTAAGGCTGTAAATGAGACTAGACAGATCGCGAGCTACTTGAGATCGAATCGATCAAAGTTCAATAAATACTCAATTCGAATGGTCTAGACTCGAGCTCAACTCGAGTTCTTAATGAGCCGAAACAAACTATTTGATACTCGACTCGAAAAACTCTTGAGCAACTCAAAAATATAATATATTAAGATTTATTTTTTTTAAAAATAAATTATTAATAATATTAACATTTATGTGTTAATCTTTTTTTTAAAAATACAGTATAAGGTTTTCATGTATTTAAGTTTCAAGTTAGAATTTGAGTTTGAATCTTTAATCGAGTTAAGTTTAAGATTTTTTCTTTTCGAGCCTTTTCGAGTTTTTACGAGCTTTAATTCATGATTTCGAGTTCGATTCCAGCTAGAAAAATTTAGGCTCGCGAGTTTTTGAGTCGAGTCAATCTTCATTTCAGAGTTTTCAAGTTAATTTGAGCTCACCGATATTCAAACTCGGCTCGGCTTGTTTACAACCCTAGCATCATCATTGAAAAAATAAAAAAAATATTATGTCAACAATTATGCTTATTTTTAATACCGTGTGACCAAAGCAGAATAAAAACATAATTTTTTAATAGTCTGAGTGATTACAAGATGGTATCTTTTCAAAACTTTTTAACCAATTGACAATGCATACACATCCTCCGGAAGCAATTGCTTGAACACAAACGTCTAGGAAGACCAACATTCTCTTTTACCACTAAAGCTACTTGATGGATTCAAAAAATTATTAAATGACCAAAATATAACCGTATAAATAATTAATTTATTAAATACTTAGTTTACTCTAAAACTATTATTACCAATACTCTAAAAAATCATTACCAATTCCTTGCGTTGCATATGACAATATTACGAGTACAAATCAATATGGTCCGCTCCAGATATCCTACACAAACTTTAAGGTTTTAACAAGGATGGATCGAGGAGTGAGTGGGGACAGTTGACAATTGAAAATTTAAAATTATAATATATTTTATATATATTTTTTCAATGTATTTTCTAATAAAAACTTTTTTTGCCCCTTTGAATTTTAGTTCGCCCGCAAGTTTAAGTTTAAGTTCGTCCCATAATATAAAATCTTGTGTCCTTTTAAAACCCTATGTTTGAATCCAGAACTTCCCCATCCCTGTATGAGTCTTTTTCATAGCCATGGAACCATTTCTATCATGGTTGTTACTCTGTTAGATGGATAAAGTTTGAAATTATAACCATCTAGACTCGGCCTAGATGTGATGACCAAATTTAGGGGGTTACATATCGTGTTCAGAAATTCTTTTCATATTTAAAACAACCTTAAAATTCATATAATAGTATAATATGAAATTAGTCATAAGAAATATTCATACGATATATATATATATATATATATATATATATATATATATATATGAAAACCGTATAAAACATATACAGAAAAAATACCGGTAATATAGATATACCATGACAGTAGCAAAAACACGTGTCACCAAAGTATAACTAAAGGCATATAAAGATATACAGTGGTACAAAAATAGAAGTAGTCGGTCCTCTTGATGCCAAGTCTGTTAGTCTATGGTCTACTACCATCTGAAAATGATAATGTAACACCCCAACCCGTACCCGACCCGGATACGAATTCAATGTGTCACATTGACTTTTAAAAAAATGACTTGTACAAAATAGTGAATAATTTTAAAATTTTACTAAATACAACTAAATAATTACATAAAATACAATCATATGATTTTCTAAAACCGATTAGAGCATATCGAATTCAAATCTTTATTTACATGCCAACCACAATCAATATTACAAAATACATATTATTCAATTCTTTTCTGATCTGGTCTTTGGAAAGGAGAAAATGACTTGTCTTGCTTAACTTTACTCCTTCTCGGAACCTACGTGTGAAACAATCACACGCTAAGTCGTTGACTTAGTGAGGCATATAAAACATATAATAAAACCATAGAACATTTCATATAACAGAATGCATACATGCACATATACCATCAATATCAACATCAACATCATTATCATGATCTCTATCATTATCATGTAATACATTTCACTCAACAATACACACAGAATCACATATTGTAACATATTTCATATAACAAAGCATATACATCACATAAAGTGTATTTATTATTATCTCTTTATTAGCATATGTACACATGTGATTCAGTGTAAACAATAATAACATGATATCATATAATAATGCAAACACTTTTGATATCTTTTATAGGCCCATGTACATTACTGAGAACTCAAGGTATGCGAGTACATTGAGATTGTGCACATATGTTGTCACCACAGCTCATATAAATGCACCGAAGTGCAACGTAGAAATGCATCGTAATACCATATAAGATGTCCATAAGGACCACATAGAAATTTTTTAAGAATCATAAACATATGCCAAGGACCAAATATGTGTCTCAAATGGCCTCATAAATGTTCCATAGAATACATATATCTCCGAAGGACCGCATAGACCCTCGACTCTTGGCATGCCAACTATACTTCTAGTTCTCATATCACATAACATGGACATTATCGTTTATAACAGTTCACATCAATTGTCTTATATAAACATGTAATCTCAAAACTCGTTCTCATATAGCTTGTATATCATTCTTGTCATATAACCTATATCACATAGGTTCATATCATGTAACATATATCACATGTGCATATAATCACATAGATCATATCGTATAATTTATATCATTTTGCATGTGTTCATGTAAACACGCATGTCATATCTTGTTCACATATGTTCATATATACATCATATAACACATATAAAAACATATAAACTTATATATGTATTCATTTACATATTTTCATATAGTTCGTATATCAATGCCCTATAACTTATCTCACTGTTTTACATAATCACTTATCTCACATTATTTATATTCTAGTTTCATATATTTATTTAATTCAATTTCACATAGCTTGTTACCTATATATATTCTCATAACTTATCATCACATAGTTCCCATAACATTTTCCTATAGCTTCATAGATCTTTACCACATGACTCATATATTATATGTTCATTTAAACCCATAACTCTTCCCCATATAACTTATCTTACATGTCCATATAATCACTTTTGTCAATGTCTCCTAATTTATGCACTATTCTCATATTGTCCTATAGGTCAATGTTATTTAACTTATCTCACTTTTCATTTAATCTCATAAGTTGGTTATACCAGTTCCTATATATCTAACTCATGTAATTTATATCTTGTTATTATATCTTCAACTAGACCTATATCCACATGTTCATAATCACATAGCTTATATTCTTTCTCATATAATCACATATATCCATGTCGTTTAACTTATCATTTATATCTATATCACTTAGTTTATATCACTTTTTCTTGTTATCACATAAGTCCTTGCTATTTTACATAGTTCGTGATCCTATAGTCACTTATGTCAATACCACATGGCGTGTATTGTATTTTCATATATTCATGTAGTTCAGTATCACATATCGCATATACATGTAATTATGTAGATTATGTCACATATAGTAACATATGACACATATACCCATTTTTATGTACTCATGCACACATAAGAATCACAAATTAAATAACATTTTAGGAGTCATTTCTTACCATAGTAACTCCGTCACTTGCTCATCGCAAGCCAATGTTTGTTCGATAACATAAGTACAATTAAATTGCACTCACCTTGACACTTTATATAAATCCAAATCCACTTCTATGATTTATCTCTTTGGATTGATCCTAACTTTGCAGTCGTTTTAAAACTTGCTTGTGCTTGATATCTACACAATTATACATTTATACATATCAGTATTCCTAATAGCATACTCTAGTTTTCATTTCTTAAACTAAAGGAAATATATATTTCATTTCCCTTTTCAGTGTATCGGTACCCACTATAAGGTATCAGTACATCCCTTCATTGATGTATCGATAGACTGCCTATGTATCGGTACACAAATTACATTCGAAAGTTTTCCTTTTAAGAGGGGTATCGATACACTTCCTTAGTGTATTAGTACATTAACTATATGAATGTTGCACTTTAATCACCAATCTTTTTAAACTTCCAAAATGGTAATATTTCACATCTAAATGCTCATATTAATTCCAAAACAAAAATTTCCAGCATAGGACATCCACTATTAAACAATTTTACAATCATTCACAACTTTTCCAAAATTATCGAATTGGTCCCCCAACTTTTCAAAAATTATAGAATGGTCCTCGAATTTTCTAAGGCTTGTAGAATACTTCCTACATCATTTCCATGCCTTATATAATTTTTTCATAATTTTTCTCACTCAAATTCATCATGTCCAAATTTTCAAAGAATAATTTCTAGAAAGATTGAATATGTTTTAACCATAAATCAAACTTGAAAATGAATCTACAACCTCTAAATCATCAAGATTTATCATCAATTTCATGAATCCTATCATGAACATAAACTCTTAGATTTGAGATATTTGAAATCTAACAAGATTAGAAAGAAATATTGGTACCAAATGATAGCGTTTTTCGCGTAGATCACTTTCCTATTTCACGGCATAACTCGAATTCCAAAAGAATTGGCTCAAAAATTGAAAACAAAATGTTTTCTTACCTTTGGAGAGCTCACGTTTGCTGCCGGAGAAGATGAAGAAATCATATGATATTTCTTCATCTTTCTTAATTAAATATTGAATAAAATATTCATTAAATGTCAATTACCACTTTATCCTTGAAATCAAAATATCTATACTAATTTACCCTTAATGAACTTGATATTTACATTAATACCAAGCTACAACAACCTTATTATATTTCAAAGTCAAATATGAACAAAATATTTTCCCACTTTACCATTTTGCCCTTGCAATTTCCAAAACTTACAATTCTGTCATTTTAATCCAACAATCCAAATTAAACAAGGAATTAAATCCTTAAATATTATTTTCCAACATTTAAAAATGTGAAAATAATATATTTATTTCCTTATTTTCGAAACCAAATGTATCTGTTCAAAATTACCATTTGGTCCCTAAACTTTTTCAAAGTTTATACTTTGGTCACCAAGCTTTCAAAATCTTATAATTTGGTCACTAAATAAATCCATTTATGGAAAAAATTCTTTTTGGAAAAAATACCACCTAGATCTTTAAACTTTTCCCAATTTTCTACTTTGACCATCAAACTTTCAAAATTTGCATTTCGGTCACTAGTCATCTTTTTAGGATGTTACAGATAAAATTTACAGAATGAGCTAAATAACCCAGTGTGCTCCTTACAGTGTATAAAAATATACAGATAAAATACTTCAGTAAAAAAACAGTTCATCAAACATGCTTTAAAAATATGAACACTACCCCCATCCGAACACCAGAATGTGTAGGTTCCCCAGAACCATACACCCACCTGTAAACCTGGTAAGGGCCTTATACATATAGCATAAGGACCTGCGATGAAGACTTACCCTATGCACAAAGTAGAGGAGCATGCGGTAAGGTTTTACAAGTCATAAATTAGGCCTGATATACTTCCTCCAATAATACCCCCAATGACAGTAATAAACATGTATGTTTTCGAGTGAAAACGGTAGTTTAATCCATTAAAACATGAAAATATTCCATACTAGAAATCAGATACATAAATACAGTAACCAGAGATCATATCAGAAATATACAGTAAATCAGATATCAGATAAACAATATTCAGAAAACCATGTATCGTGACGTAAAAATATTTTGTATTATCAAAAATCTAAAATAGTTCAGATAAATAGTTTAAAAGAGTAATGTAACACCATCAGGAAACACTTGTACCAGTCTGAGTAGTATGATAAGGAAGTCTACTCTGAGTCTTTTGATCACGATCATCGTTTACGCTAGATCCTACGAATTGGAAAATCTATATCAGAATCCTAATATGAATAATAATAATCTCTGTTTAAACTATTTACAGAAACCTACGAGTAACTCTCGAAGAACGCAGATCGAGCGGATCTGACGGAAGGGAAACACCATATCTAATCGACCCTTGGTCGGGGAAAACACGAGTACCTTCATAAAAATATATACTCGAATCAATTTCATATTCAAATCACAAATAAATAAGCAAAAATGCTAAAAAAATACTAAGCATTTTCGGATTAATGGGCCCGATTTGGGGCTTTCGGGGTCAGAATTTGACAAAACGGATCGTAAAAGCAGACTCAATACGTCAAAAACGTCAAAATGGAGGTTTTCGTAAAAAATCAAAAGCAGTCAACGGTCAATGACCATGGACTAACCGGTTCGGTTTGGGTTGGACCAAGTCAGGTCAGATCGGGTCGAACAAGCAGGTCGGGCCGGGCAGCTTCTAAAAGTCCACCAGGTGGTGGACCTTCCCCACATGCATTAGCTGCACGTGGGGGCGTGTGCAAGGCCTTCGGGGTCGAAAAAATTATGGAAAAATTCCTATATGCATTTTAAGGGGTTTTGAGAAACTTACCAAGCTCGGTTCACAGCGGTGAACAGCGGACAACTCGATTTCGTAATGTCGAAAACTTTATCTTCCTCACCCCTCACACACCGACGACAACGGGGACAAGATAGACACCATTGGACTCGGTACGACACAAGAAACACGATGGTTCGGGAGGTGTAAAAAATTGAACAACAGTTGGCAACGAAACGTGATTAAAGATTTCCTTCTGAAAGAGGAAAGGTTGAAGAGCGAGGAGAAGGGTTTAAACTTTCTGTTTTTTGGGCTTTTAAACCCACATTTAGGAAAAATAGTATAATTACACTACATATCCTCCAGTTTTAGTTACTTTATTAATTTGAATTTAAATTTAATAGAAATTTCACTATGGTCCCCAAATCTAATTTTAATTTTAATTTATTCCTCGGAAAATTTTAAGAAAATTTGGGCCTAATTTGGGGTGTGGCAGAAATTAATATCAAGTTGAGGTTCCTTGACTGTTCTGGAAGCGGCCAGGATGTTGTTGTGGCTATTTATACCGTAATTGAGTTGCTGATATTTTTTCAAGTAGGGTGGATCATGAAACAAGGACAAGAATGCGAATTTTCCTTTTTGTTTAGGAAGAAAAATGGTACATGCAACAAGAATATGATGGTTCTACAAAAAGTCTAATAGAGTTGAAACAATACAATCCGAAAATGATATGTTTGTCACGTGAAAGTGAGGAATTAAGAGATACCATCTCCATCTAAGTTGCAGTGCGAAATGAGCATCTGTGGACCAGAGATGAGAAGATCAGTACAAGGAAGAGTTAAAAAAGTTAAAACACGAGGAAGGTGACAGGAAGGAGGGCTTAAATCTCTTCAAACGACAAGGATCGATGAAGATAAAATTAACATTGCATTTTCTTGTACTTGAGCCACTGACCCCACTGGGCCACACCAGCTGCTGGTGGCTCCTTTCTCTTTCCCTTTCACCTTCAAACTTGTTAACTTGTAACTTTCCAATATTGTTCCTACAAATCTTGTTGTCTCCCATGAAATGTTGGACTGAAGAAGAAAGGCGTTTGATACGATGAGGATCCTAGACTTGTTCGTGGTCGCTTCTATGCCGATTCTGAAGGTGCTCCTGGTGACGGCACTCGGTTCATTTCTTGCCTTGGATTGCATAGATGTTTTGGGGGAGCACGCAAGGAAGCAACTGAATAATGTAAGAAAATTAACATGGAAATGATTTTTTTAATCCGAGGAACTTCATAACTGAGAATTTTGGATGATCAGGTTGTTTTTTTCGTGTTTAATCCCGCATTGGTCTCAAGCAACTTGGCCAAAACAGTCACCTTTGACAGCATTGTTATGTTGTGAGTTCATTCTGATCAGCACTCAATCATCTTTTAGTAGCATAACTGTTCTGTTTCGGGTTTAGGGTGATTTTTCTTCTTTCGATTCGATGTCAAAATATGCAGGTGGTTCATGCCATTCAATATCCTGATGACGTTTGTTCTAGGCACAGCAATAGGATGGGTATTAATAAAAACCACAAAAGCCCCTCAACATCTAAGAGGTCTTATATTGAGCTGCTGTGCAGCAGGTATATGCATATTATGTCCCACAAATAGCACATGTATGGAATGCCAGTCCCAAATAATTACTTTTGGGTTAATTTTTAACTTAAAACAGGGAACGTGGGTCACATACCCTTAATTGTAGTTCCAGCAATCTGTGCGGAGAAAGGCAGTCCCTTTGGAGCTCCTGACATTTGCCATACGTATGGAATGGCTTATGCTTCACTTTCCATGGCGGTATAATTAGCAAATCATTTATTTCATACTATATATGTTTAATTACCTGCTTTTAATTAATACCTTCAGCTAATTCGGCCATAGCCAAAGCCATTAATTGTCTCAAACCGCTTGTCATCTGATACTTCAGATTGGAGCTGTTTACTTGTGGTCCTTCGTATACAACATAGTCCGAGTTTCCTCGGCAAAGGTCAACAACGAAGTTATCAAGTCTAATAGCCCTGGGGGCTCGCCGTTGCCGACTTCATGTGATCAAGAGAACTACTCCGATGCGCTTCTTCCGTCCAAAGATTGCTCCATTTCTTTGTATACACATGAATTGTCATTAGCATGCGCCAAATCAAAGGGAACCGTCAAGGTTACATGCCTGCTCCTATATATATATCTGGAAGATGTCCCTAGTTGCAAATTGTCCGCCATTGAGGAGTTCTTTTCATCCATTTGGGCCACAATTTGATTTATTTGTGTTTTTTCTGTTACAGGTATCAGATTTTGCCAAGGCCTGGCAGTATTTAAGGATAATATTTAGAAAACTCAATTTGAAGGCTGTATTCGCACCTTCAACTACGGCTGCGGTATCCTCCTCGGACGCTTTGATTTGCTACTAACAACAAACATAAACGTTACGACTTGTGACTGACTAACTAACTGTCCTCGTTGCTTTCCTTGTGCAGTTTGTTGGATTCTCTATAGGTCTAGTTCCCCAAACTCGAAATCTAGTAATTGGTGGCAATGCTCCCCTCCATGTGGTTCAAGACTCTGCTTATCTTTTGGGGTATGCATGATTCATTATCTATAATTTCCATCATTAACTAAGCCGATTATATTCACCTTATCTGGTTCCGGTTTGAACGTTTGATTCGCAGGGACGCAGCCATCCCAATCGTGACCCTGATAGTCGGAGGAAACCTTCTAAGAGGTAAGCGTTTATGCTAGGCTTATTCTATATAGATGTTGCAGTTTGTTTATGGCACTGTTGTCATTTCGAGGGGCATCAACCAGGTTTGAAAGGACAAGCTGGTATTTGCAAGTCATTGGTGATCGGAGTAATAGTTGTTCGGTTTGTTATCCTCCCATTTCTGGGCATTGCCATCATAAAGACGGCAGTCCAGTTCGGTGTGGTGCACTCGGATCCATTATATCAGTTCATTCTTCTGCTACACTACGCACTCCCACCGGCCATGAATATTGGTAGGCAGATCATTTGGTATAATATAATCATTATTTTAAGTATGAATGAATATAAAGAGTTTGAATTTGAATTGATTTAGGCACAATCACCCAATTATTTAGAGCCGGAGAGAGCGAATGCTCTATGATAATGCTGTGGACGTATGGGTTGGCCTCTATTTCGCTTACGCTGTGGTCCACCGTGTTCTTGTGGTTAGTGGGTTGATTAATTCTTAATTGTTCCTTCCTATTATTCTCAATAATATTGGACTTGTAAACTTATTGCAGCATACATAATTGCCTTGACTTGAATTTTACAATGTATTGTAAGATTTCATGCTATCAATTATGATTCTACACTTTAGTCGTCATATATTTTGTTATTTATTAAAATTTGGTATTCGTCTTACCAATAAGTAAGGGTTCGTTTTTGTATGAATCAAACGATCTCGTCCAAATGGTTGACAGTTTTTGGAATAAATACTATCACCTCTAATCACCCTAGAATAATAAAAATAATAATAAGAGTTCATCTTTCAATTTAAATCAAAGATTTGAATCAAAGATTTGAATCGTAAAATAAATAATATAATATGCATTTTTAAGAGTGTTTTTGTTTTATTTTATGTTTTTCGAAATTCTCGAATAAGATTTGATTGTAAAATAAATATTCAAATTATATATAGATACTTATTTTTTTTATTAAAATAAGTGTTTAACGCTTCATTCGATAATCATTTTAAAATCGATCTATTACTTGATTAAGAAAATTTATTGACTAATAAACGCATGACATTTGACATCATCTTGTTTTGGATTACATTTTATCTATTACTTTATTTCTTTGTATATTTTTCTAAAAAATCAAATAAAAGAAAGAAAGAAAAAATCATCATATGGCACGCACCATATTTACTTGGACGTTGGTTGAAGCGATCATTCTTAGCATCAAAGCTCAATCTAGTTCACAATATTCTCATTTTCTGTTTCTGAAAGGATCAAGTCCCAAACACTTCAGTTGTATTGTTATTTTTGTTTGAGGTTACTAATTCCCGCAGAAGCTATTGGTGATTAGATTTTCGATTTATATGGATGAATTGTACTTATTTTTCTCTTTGGAAAAAAATGAAAACTGAAAAAAGAGGGGGGAATGTTATGTGTTGCATATTTATTGAGTGATAATTTTTAATGAGTGTAATAAATTAATCGAGAATTATTACATAATAAAACGTTAAACAGATGAAAACCCTAGCCGCTTTTTTCTTCGTCCTCTCTCTTTCTTTTGTTCTTCTTCTTCTTTATAATTTATATCAATTTTATTGATAAATCCAACTTTTTTTTCTTTAATTTTTTTAACGAATGGTGGCACCGGTTTTGATGTTGGTTGTTGCCCGCAGATTGTCTTTTTTATTTTTTAGTTTTTAATAAGAATACTTATGTCTTTGTGACACGTTTTCTGCCTTTATGAGACGTTTATTTATGCATTTGCAGCACGTTTTTCTCTGTCTTTTGGTATCTTATGGTATTTTTGCTATTGTTTTCATTTAGCTTTCTTCTCGGGGTTGGATTTGACATCGTTACGACTGATCAAGATGACGCTTATTTGTTATCATGTTGATCTCCTCTGCTCTGGACCCTCAGATTGATTTGCGTATGCGTTTTGTATTCGTGGATAGTTTTCTCACATCGCTTGACTTTGATTTGCAATTTGTCAGTGGTCTTCAGTAACTTCATCCCCTTTTGTGATTCGTTTGCCGATGCAGTCAGATTTTTCGTATCTTTATTTTGTTCGAGAATTGGTTATATTTTTTAATCTTTTCTTTTTTTTGTCCTTGTGTGATCTAAGTGGCTAAATGTCCTAATTATAATTTAGTTTAGGTGTATGGTTATGCTTGTAAATCTTCATTGTAATTCTGGATATTTTTTATTTTTAATAAAACTAGCGGCTTTCGATAAAAAAATGTTAAACATATGCTTTAATAAAAAATTATTTGACATAAAAGAGAAATATAATTTGAATAATTATTTTGTAATATCTTATTTAACGATATATATATCTTATAAATGTAATTATTTAAACTCAAAATTTTTAAAGCAAATGATACTCTTTTTTATCATTGTAGTCCCTTATTGGATTTTAAAATATTACATTTAAATAAATATTCAATTTTTTATACTATTGTTTTAAATTTAAATTATGAAGATTTTTATTCAATGCCGTCAGCTAACCACGGGGGAGCTCCATGAGATCTAGCATTTCGCTTTTGCCAAACAAAGTAAAGATAGCTACACCAGGCCAAACGAAGCACAGTTGCCCGAAGAGTTTTTCCCTTGCCATGATCCTGAACCCAAACCACTATATCCCTCCAACCAGGACCACAACTTCTCACATGACAACCCTGCATAACCAAACCCCAAACATCCTTCGAAAAAACACACTCAGCAAATAACTGATCTTTGGTTTCATCAATCCCCTCACAAAGAACACATGAAAGGTCCAAAATACCTCCCCAAAGAGCCATCCGAGGCCTTGTTAGAGAACGATCTAGAGTAGCAAACCAAGCAATAAAAGAATGCTGAGGTATCGATAATCCCCCCAAACAATGTTGCACCATGGCACCCTTGCCTGCTTATGCCGAAGAACATCCCAAACTTTCCTTGTTCATACTCACAATCCAAATCCCCCACAATTAAAAAATAATCGCGCAGCTTAATAACCTTTTTCCAGGCCCAACTATAGTTATTCCTTATTTGGACCCGCGAATATAACAGTAACACCCTTTCAAAATATAGTTTTTAACTCAGGTCACCCAAAGCAATACTGCTTTAACAAGAATAATCCACAAACAACTAATCATGGAAGCTTTATTCCATACCAAGCTATTCTTTAGCCCAAGCGCCTCCCCCCTCACACTTTGGGTGACAAATCCTCTCCCAACTTACTCGAGCTTCCCAAGCTGAATCCTTATAAAAGAATTACACAGCTTCTCAATCTGTTTTAACACTTTAGAATACAAAAAGGAAAATCCTACACCAAAAATTATGAATACTAAAGATTACAACTTGAATAAGCTGCAATCTTCCCACAAAAGACAAGCACTTGACCGGCCAACTCCTAATCCTCCCAACAAGCTTTCCAACCAAAACCTCACAATCAGAAGAAGTGAGATTCCTTGAGATCAAAGGAACACCCAAGTACCTTACCGGTAAAACTAAAATTGATTCATATATAAATTACGAAATCGATAGACTTCTGGGCTTTAAAGCCCAAGCTCACTTTGCAATTGGATTTCCGGATGAAGATCGACCTGACCATTCTCTTCTACAATTTTTCCGCAAAGACGGCTTCTAGAAGAGGTAAGCGAAAAGGAAACCTAAGACCTGCGACTGCGGCTGCTGTGGCCGTTGCAGTCTGCTCGGAAATTAATGGGACGGAAAATGGAATGGGCAAGCAGGGAGAAGCACATGGGAGGAATACCAAGGAAGATGGTGTTTTTGGCGGTGGGTGCATTCGCCAAGGCGGTTGCAACTCTTCTCAACACCACCTCCGTTCATAAAGCCGATACACTCCTTCGTCTCGTACGCTCTCGATCCACTGGCATTCCACTTCTCACAGTCAGCAATCACATGTCTACGTGGGTGCACCCACCCTTAAATCCTTCTCTCTTTATCATTTACGAATTTGATTCTATTTTTATTTTTTTAATGTGGATCAGCAATCATATTGTCATCTGGTTTGCAGCTTGGATGATCCACTTCTTTGGGGGTTCAAAGGCTTCCCCTCCGTGGATGCCAAATTGGCTCGCTGGGCACTTGCTGCTGAAGACATTTGTTTTAAGAATTCTTTATTCACTTATTTTTTTAGACTTGGTATGCCTTCTTTCCCACCTGTATTGCAACTCATCTACTTATCTATTTTTTTAAACAAAATCTATTGTCATTTATCATATCACTAGCATATTAGCTATTATTATTGAATTTACATATAAATTCATCTTAAGTTGAACTATATTATATCGATTCCTAAGTTACCATTTAGGGTCGAATTGAAAGATAAGTTAGCATAAGCTAAGAAAGACAACAATGCAGGTTCTTTGCCTACCACCACTCTGCAGATTTTCATTACTTGGTGAATGCTCAGTTTTCACCTCCACAACAGTCAAGTTTTATAGGCTTTGGTCGAAAGATATTGGTTTGGTTTACTCTTTTATGGGTATGATCTTGCTCAAAATATAACCAGTTCTAGCCCTTGCACGTATACTTAACTTTTCGTCTGACTGTACTTACTGATCAGCGTTTAGGAAACATGCTTTCACATGATATGGTTACTTGTCTTAGGTATTGTTGGAAATTCCTTTTGAGTTGTTGAATTTTCATCATTAATACTACTAACTAAAATCTTCTTTTATGCACATGAAGAAATCTTCTGTCAACTTGGTTTGGTTTTTGAAAGACCAGATGGTTTTAAAGTAAGGGTTTATCTATGAAATAGTAAATTGTGCAGGTAAATGCATACCTATTAAAAGGGGTGGTGGAATTTATCAGGAACACATGAATGAAGCTCTTCGATGCTTAAACAATGGAGCCTGGGTATTTCACCTAAATTTATACTATTGTTATTTTGAAATTTTGGTAAATCTTTTATATCATGAGATTGTTGAATTTTTCTCTGCGCTTTTATTGTTGAGATATGAAGAAGATACAGAGCCTTTTCTCAAGGAAATAAATCAAGAAGAAATTAACTTTAAAAGGAACTGAACCCATAGATAAAGAATATAGCTTAAAGTGATGGACACAACTATATATGTTTATTTAGTTGAGAGACACGGAAAACTTGTTTAGTGTCTCACTGCAGTTTGTTTAGAACATTGGTTTTGGTTCTCTAGACGTCTTAGCACAACAAACTAACTGCTAAGGAAGTAACTTGCATTTTCTCACAATCAATTTTGACCCGCTGCCTAATTATTTTTTGAAGGTAGTTTAAACTTTTAAATATATAAGTAGTTCTTGAAGTGGTACTAGTGCTAGTAAGCCATTACTTTTTGGATATACTGTTAGTATCAGGCATTAGTACCTGTTGAAACTTGAAAGATATAGAATATTAATTCAGATCTAAACATTTAAAAAATGAGAACTTCTTAGTGATTGAATGTTGTATTTTTAGATTGCTTACATACACGGTTTAAGGTTTAGATTCTATATGTGGTTTGAACTCAGATGCCCTGAACTTGGATTGATTTTGCTGTGTTCACCCCTTAATTAAACTGTTTAAGAGTTAAGATATGTTTATAAAAATAAATAAAATAATAGTTTTAAATATTAAAAACTTCAAGTATAAATCAATACATTGTAGACAAGTATTTTAGGAGTTAATCGGTAGGTAATGAGTATAAATATACTCATACAATTAATTTATAAACTTTTTAGCATAGATATGTTTATAATATTAAGTATAAAATATGTTACATAACTAATTTATAGGTTTTTAGTATAAAAGTGCGCCTCGCCTACGAAAGGTGCGCTCCTGCGCCTAGGCTCTAGGGACCTTTTGCGCCTTGCACCTTTTAAAACCAAGCGAGTACCCTATTTTCTTTGAAGAGTGGTTTAAAACCTTGTAAATAGTTTTTTGGTTCTGCAATGAAATTCCTTTCTTATATATGACTATTCATGCTTTAAACTTCCTAATTTTTTCCATTATTAACTGGCAGTTACATACATTTCCTGAAGGTAAAGTGTACCAAGAAGATGCACCCATAAGACGGTTAAAATGGGGAACTGCTAGTCTGATTGTTCGTTCCCATGTGACTCCTATAGTTCTTCCAATGGTTCATAGTGGTTTTCAAGAGGTTAAACATCATTCATAAGTTGACATTTGTCTTCTAGATTCAGTTTCATCTGAATGAATTTTGTTTGCGGAGCTTGTAGAATTGATTTAGTGGGTCTGTATACATTTTTTTATTTCTCATTTTTTTATAAGTATAGGAGGCCTCGTTAAAAACCCCCTTCTTAACTGTCCATTCCCCAAAAAGGAAAACAAACAATGAAGGAGGAAAAGAGTGCCTCAAGTTTTATTAAAATAGGGGTTTAAAGACCCAACATTACAACCAGAAAATTGCTATAGCTCCCTTACAAAGACAAAACCCCACTCTCAACAATCCCTAACCTCACCTCACCCAATCCCTTTTTGCACATAAACTCTTTTTTTTTTCTCATAAACTCTTTTTGCGCATGAAAAAGATGTCTTTACCTAACCTATTGAGGGATGTTGTTTGGACCTTGATTGTGAATACTCTGCATGAATGAACCAACTGTGATATCTGATCCACATATGCCAGTTTGACCAAAACCCTCTTCAAAAGTTGGTTTCCCAATTTGGGTCTTCTTTTGACGTAGTAATAGAAGGCACTGATAGATTCATAGTAACAAGATAGAAGGCACTTGTTGAAAGTTCCATATTGATATTCTTGTTTTTGGAAAATCCCATTACTGAAGCCGTTACACTTGTTCTGACAGTTGGAACCCTAGCATATTTTTTAAGTACTATGAAACTTTCACTATGATACAGGCAGACTGTGTAAGCCAGTCCATATGCTAATATCAGTGAAGTGTACAGACATGGTTACTAACCGTGCTAAGTTTTTTTTTTATTCCTTCAACCCTCCTTCAACCCTGTATAGTTGTTTTATTCTATTTAGATCAATCAGTAGTTGTTGTATGACGTCTTTACATTTAGATCAATAAGTACCAGATCTGGGGATGGTGTCCTTTACATGCAGTAGTTATTAGACCAATGAGGAGAAGCATGGTACTTGCGGTTTTCATGTAGTGGTTCTTTGAAAATTAGATTGCATTGGATGTTGAAATAAATTCCAAATAAATTCCTAATTGATTGGTTGTTTTGGTTTTGGTTTGGGGTCTCCAACAGGTGATGCCGGAGAAGTATTTTCTCAACAGAAGGCCTCTCTTTCCATTATGCAATAAGAAAATAAGAATTATGATTGGAGAGCCTTTAGAATTTGATATTCATAAAATGATGCTGTCGGCGATCTCAAAGTCTCGTGATGATCCCGTATTTTCTTCAACAGAAACAACATCAAGAAGATGGCCTGCTATCTCCTCTCAAGGATTGGCTTTGGATGAAGCAGCACAGAGATGCCTGTATTCAACAATTTCAGAGCAAATACAAACTGCCATGGAGAAGTTACGCGGCTTGGGTAAAAGTTTCTTAAAATAGACTCCTTTCAAAAAACATTTTTCAATAATAGTGAATGGTTAAAACACAAACTATCAGAGCTTAGGTACAACAATAGCTCGGGGGGCCGTCCCCTTGTGAATTTTGTGTTTTAAGTTTTGCCATTGAATTTAAAGATCATTTTTTTCTAGTTTGGGCAGATGTTCAGATGGGGGTTCTTTTTTAGGTCTAATGTGGCTCATGCTTTATGAAAATGGCTCATATGGTATGTAACGTAAAGAAGAAAAGAATAGCCTGGCCGGCTACCATTTTTTTAATTGCATTGAATGTTTCAGTTTTGATGGCACACGCTTGGCAAATGAAAGCAAAACATGGAATTTGATTGAGGAGTATTGGTTGTTTGTTTGTCAACTGTCATAATGG